GTTGCCAGAAAGAAGGAACCAGTTGGTTCAGGAACTCAGGATGAGCAGTTACTCTAAATCCAGGGGTCAGTAAGTATCCTCTGAAATAGGCCTGGAGGAACAGTGAGGATTTTTCCAAGTTACAAACATAGGGAGTGCGTTCTAGATGTAGAGATGGACAGGAATAAAGGGGAAGAGGTCAGAGAGCAGCTGGGCTGTGGCGGGGCTGGCCAGTGGTCATTTGTGTGGCTGAAGCTGACGATCCTCAGAAGGGGAGACTGCACCTGTTCCCGGACCCCATCCAGGGCCACGGCCTGGAGCTGGGGCCACTATCAGAGGCCTGGGAAACTACTGGTCCCCTGATGCTGACCACTGGCAGTAGCAACAGCTGATGAAGCCATCATGAAAGGATGACAGTTGCCAAGCAGAATAAGGACAAGAGCACATCTGGTTTTGACATTTATTCCCTTGCATTCCATTTAGGAGTCTGTGTGAGGAGCTGCCTGACACTGGTCAGTGTGAAGATCACCGGTCCTGGTGTGCCACACTGCCTCTCCAGGCAGAGCCTAATGAGGGCTTTTTTTTTTCCTTTTAAAAATATTTTAAGATATTTATTTATTTTATTTAAAAGGTAAAACTGCAGAGAGATCAATCATCCATTTACTTATTCATTCCCCAAACGGCTGTAATGGCCAGAGTTGAGCTGATCCAAAATCAGGAACCAGAAACTTCTTCCAGGTTTCCCATGTAGGTAGAGGGGCCCAAGAATTTGAACCATCCTCTGCTGCTTTCCCAGGACATAAATAGGCAGCTGAATTCAAAGTGGAAAAACTGGGATTTGTACTGATGCCCATATGGGATGCTATGCCACAGTGCTGACACTGGTCCCTGGAGGGTCTCTGTATCTACATGTGTATTTATGCTCCTAAAACCCCAATAATGACTCACAGCAAAGAATGAGAAATAATTCATTTTTAAATTTAATAGGACTTATTATTATAAAAGCAACAAACATGACAGAACCTCAGGGCAGGCATTGTGGGACAGCAGGTTAAGCCACTACCACCGGGTCTCCCACGCAGGTGCAGCATTCCAAGGCTTTGGGCCATCCTCCACTGCTTTCCCAGGCCACAAGCAGGGAACTGGGTGGGAAGGGGAGCATCTGGGACGTGAACAGGGTGCCCAGATGGGATCCTGGTGCTTGCAATGGCAGGGTCAGCTGATTGAGCCAGTACTGCCCAGTACCGTTCGGATCGGCGCAGTACCGGCCATTGGGCTCACTTGGGGAGTGAATCATCGGACAGAAGATCTGTCTCTCCTCCTCTCTGTATATCTGACTTTGTAATAAAAATAAATAAATCTTAAAAAAAAAAAACAAATAGAATACATAAATAAAATGTAGCAACAACTACACAGAAAAAAAATCTTCATTATCTGCCAGAGATCCCCGCTGTGAGCCTTGGTCCCCATCTTCTCACATTTTCGGGTGAATACATATGTATGCTTAACCTAATACTTGCAACTGGCGTTTCTTTGTAGTTCCTGTTTGTTTAAAAGGCAGAAAAACACAGAGAGCTACAAAAACACACAGAACTCTTCCATCGCCACGTTCATTCCCCAAACTACCACAGCAGCCAGGGATGGGCCAGGCCAAACCCTGGAGTTAGCAACTCAATCCAGATCTCCGCATGGGTGACAGGGACCCAAGAACCCGGGCCGCCGCCTGCCGTGACGCAGAAAGCTGGACTTGGAGGCGGGGCTGTAAGGGATCCTACGCATTCTGGCCTGGGATGTCAGTGTCTCAGCAGTGTCTTAGCTACTGCACCAAATTCCCACCCCATAAAGTTTTTTCTGTCACTGTTTCTCATTTGTCCATGTCACTAAATGTTTCTTTCCTAATACTCAATATGTATTCACATTCTTGCAACAGAGTCAAAATGTCCGTTAGCGTTCATAACCTTGCCTTGCATCTCCTGGCTATACCGTGTTGCTTTCATATGATTCTGACTTGCCAGAAGGAGCTAGTCAGCTCTCCTGAAAAAAAAAAAAAAGAAAGAAAAAGGTGTGCTTCCTGTGATTGTCTGCTTTCTCACGACGTCATTTCCTTGCTCCGTATTTCCTATAAACTGGAAGCTCCACTGAAGATGTGATAGGCACAGCCTAAATGTTTGGGACTATATGACTGCCTGGGTGATGACGTGTTTTGTGACACATCAGCAGGTCTGCAGGACCTAGCTGACTCACCCTGGCTGCTGGCCAGATTAAGCCTTGCTGATATCTGGGTTTTTTTCTTTTTTTTTTTTTTTAAGATTGATTCATTTTTATTGAACAGATAGATATACAAAGAAAAGGAGAGACAGAGAGAAAGGTCTTCCATCCACTGGTTCACTCTCCAAGTGGCTGTAACGGCTGGAGCTGAGTTGATTCAAAGCCAGGAGTAAGGAGCTTCTTCTGGGTATCCCATGCGGGTGCAGGGTCCCAAGGCTTTGGGCTGTCTTCGACTGCTTTCCCAGGCCACACGTAGGGAGCTGGATGGGAAGTAGAACTGCTGGGACACGAACTGGTACCTGATTGGGATCCTGGTGCATGCAAGGCGAGGACTTTAGCCACTAGGTTACTGAGCCGGGTCCCCTGAGGTTTTTCTTAATGGGAAGGGTTTTTTCCTTTACCTCAGTTTTGCAACAACTTATAGACCATAACAACTTTTTGTTTCATAGTGTTCTTTTTTTTTTAAAGATTTATTTTTATTATTTTTTCATTGGAAAGGCGGATATACAGAGAGGAGAGACAGAGAGGAAGATCTTCCATCCGATGATTCACTCCCCAAGTGAGTGCAACGGGCCGATACTATGCCGATCCGAAGCCAGGAGCCTCTTCCGGGTCTCCCACGCGGGTGCAGGGTCCCAAAGCTTTGGGCCGTCCTCTGCTGCTTTCCCAGGCTACAGGCAGGGAGCTGGAAGGGAAGCGGGGCTGCCGGGATTAGAACCGGCTCCCATATGGGATCCCGGGCGTGCAAGGCAAGGACCTTAACCACTGTGCCACATAGCCGGGCCCCCATAGTGTTCTTTTTAAAAGATTTATTTTTTTATTTTTCGAGGAAGAGCATAAATGCAGACCCCACTACCATAGAGTGTGTGGTCAAGTTTCCCACATGAGGGGACGTCCCAGGGCCAGCACAAGTTCAATCACACATCCTCACCTTAAGGATTTATGGTCCCACCTGCCACATTCTTTATTTGAAAGGTGGAGTGGCAAGATGAGGGACGGAGATCTCCCAGCAAATTAGTTAAATCTTAACGTCCAAAACAGCCAGGACTGGGGAGCCTGGAACTCACCCAGGTCTTCCCCAAGGGGCAGCAAGAACCCAATGACAGAGGCCATCCTGTACCGCCTCCCAGGACAGCATCCGCAGAAAGAATGTGGATCAGAATTGCAGCAGCAACACTGACACCCGGATGTAGGCATGCCAGGTGGTAGCTTACCTGCGGTCGCCCCACATAACCCCAACCAGGTATTTCAGAGGCAAAGCGGGAGAAGGCAGTATGAATGGAGCAGGACTGACACAGACAAGGGGTTAGCTAGCAGGGAGGAGATGAGCTCTCCAGCGCTGGGCTGCAACCCTCCCTGTACCATCCGAACCTTCCCGTCGTCCACCCAGAAAGCCACAGCTTTGGGGAGACCGTCACACAGAGCTGGGTGTCAGTGAAAAGTAACCAACCTGCTCCTCTTTGTATATCTGACTTAATAATAATTATAATAAAAACAGCCCGGCTTCCAACTGCATTCCTCTGATGAGCTCTAGCTTCTAAAGCTCATTATAAGGTCACTATAATAAAATGCTGACCCAGTGGCACATCTGAGAGTTCCAAACAAGTGCACGGAAACAGGTGGTACTCAGCTGTACCCCCAGATTCCATCCTTCTATGTATATTCAATCAAACCCCACCACAGACAGCAGCTCCTGGGCCTCCCGATTGGGAGATGGCCATGAACTTCACGGAGTGCCGCAGCCACTCTTGAGTGTTTTCACTCTGCACATAGTTAGAACTTACTCGTCTGTTAGCCTTTAACTACATCTAATCCTTGGCTTTACATGTTTGCTTTTTTTTGCATCGGAAGTAAGAACCTGGCCTCCATCATGACAAGGATGTAGGTGGCACACACCTGTCTACTTACAGGAAATCAATCTGAGGACTGGAGCAATGGCTCAGTTGACTAATTCAACCCCCTAGAAGCGCCAGGGTCCCATATGGGCACGGATTCATGGCCCGATGCTTCCCTTCCCCTCCAGCTCCCTGCCTGTTGCCTGGGAAAGCACTAGAGGATCGCTCGCTCAGGACCTTGGGACCCTACACCCACCTGGGAGACCAGGAAGAGCCTCCTGGCTTCAGATGCGCTCAGCTCTGGTTGCTGTGGCCACTTGGGGAGTGAACCGGCGTGGAAGATCTCTCTCCGTCTCTCTCTATGTAAATCTGCTTTTCCAATAAAAACAAGTAAATCTTAAAGAAACAAAAAAGGAAATGAAGTCGAGCACCATGGTCCTTGTGACCAAACATCTGATCTTGTCCTCACCACAACAGAGCGAAGAAGAAACAATAAATGCATACACTAGCAGCTCGGTGGGGCCTCCATGATCGTGCGGAACATTGGCTCTATACACAGCACGTGTCTGTTTATAAAACAGAGCTGAGCGGATGCGGTGTGCACTGCACAGAGAGCCATTATTCGCCTTAGTGCCTAACCTGGAACAAGACCTAGGAACCCTTCGGTCTGTTTCTTTGCAGGAGGAGCCTTTTGCAGCCTGTGACCACCAGAGGACGTCGCAACCGTGGTTCTGGGCGAGACTGTTGGCGTGCCGCTGAAGCTTGTCTCCTCCGCGGCTCCGTTGCTCCAGGCCCTGCAGGTCGGCTCGCTCTCCCCGCCCACGCCGCTCCCAGGCGCGGGCGCCAGGGGGCGCTGTCGGCGGCGTCGCCGCGGCCCCGGGAGCCTCGGCGACCAGCTCCCGGCGGGCAGTGCGGGCGGCTGCGAGTGCCACGTCCCAAAGTGCGAGGCGGAGGGGCGAGCGGGCGGCGCAGGGGCGGGGAGCAAGCGGAGCCCGGCTCGGCTACACCGATCGCCCGGCGCCATGGGCTCCTCGCAGAGCGTCGAGATCCCAGGCGGGGGCACGGAAGGCTACCACGTCCTGCGGGTAAGGCCTCCGCCGGCGGCCGCGGCCCTGCCGGGGCCCTGTCCCGCGAGCAGCTAGGCCCGGTGCCCCGAGGGGCAGCTGGCTCGGCCGAGGCCGCCCGCGTCTGCACGGGACACTCGGCTCCGGGGTCGGCCTGGTGCAGCTGGGGGGCTCCCTCGGCCCCAGGTCCCACCTCACAGCTCCTCTGAGCGCCTCCTCACTTCCCAAAGTTAGTCAGGCCCCGGGGCGGCGGCCCCCGAGGGGCGCCGGAACAGCAGCCTGGAGCCGAGGCGGCAGGTGTTTCCATTCCCGGCTTCGACCCGGAGGTCCGGCACGGGCCGGCGAGGCGGGAGCCGCGGGCCCGAGTGGCCTGCAAGTCAGGTAGCTTTGGCGGACTTGATTTTGATAGGACTTTTTTTTTTCCTCCCTCTTCCGTCACTCCTGACCTTTCCAAACCCACCTCTTCCCCATCTCCCGGATTGGGGGTGGCTAGGAGGGAAGCAGACTTCCGTTCTGCTGTTTCCATGACCTGTCGAGGACGTGTGATGGAATTCAGCGGGGGTTAAAACACAAATGTTTCCAGAAGGATTCTGATGGACAGAGGGAAGCAGCCTCCCTCCGTCGCGGGAGGCGGCCTGCGTGGTCGTGGTCGGGTGTGAGGCCGGCCAGGGGAAGCCGTGCAGAGGGCAGCAGGCTGGGGCACCTGTGTGAGTGGGACTGATGCACGGTGGACCCCGTGGCACCGTGCAGGACCGGGATGCAGTGTCCGGGCTTCCTGGTGCTTCATTTCCTGCCCGAGGACCCATGTGAGACGGGTGGGGAGGTCGGCCTTTCTCACCTGCAGGATTCAGCCGCCTAAGTTGCTTCTCCGTTCCATTAACAATTCCTCTGGAGACCTTATTCCTAGTAGGAAAGGGCGGATTTCCCGCCCCCCACCCCCCGCACGGTGTTTCCCTTAGCTAAATCCTCCTCTGTCACCCTGCCCACCCCCCAGAGCCCGCCACAAAGGGGAAGGTGGGACACCTGACAGCGAGAAGTGCAAGTGTCTGCACTGGGCTTGAGTTTTGTGCCCTGGATCTGTTATCCAGGTTTACCGGCTGGGACTCCAAGTGGGCTTGATTCCTTGAGGATTTAGGGTGCTTTTGTAGTACAGCCCTCAGTGCAAGGGGAACTGGGTGAAAATAATAATAATAATAATAATAATAATATTGGAAAAAAGGCCATCATCACATTAATCACATCAGAACGACTTTCTGTTAGTGACTTCATTTCAAGTTGAAAGTGTGCTGTCTTTGTAAAGGTGCATCTCAGTAAAGCCGTGTCATGCCTTTTCCAGAGTACAGATGTGTTAGGATTCTGTGAATCTGACTTTCAGAAAGGCTATGGGCAGCCTTAACTACAAGTGTACATCTGGAGCCTTATTGTTGCACACCATGAAATAAATCTTTAATTAGCATATTATTAAAGGGAGCTTTAACATAGGAATGATTGTCTAGGAGAATTTGCTTCTGTGTTCCTAGTCTCCTCTGCCCTTCCCCCCAGTTGCGTTTTTTTTTTTTTTTTATCTTTGTTCTTAAAGGTGTATTTGGGGGCCAAGGCAGTAGTGCAGCAAGCTAATCCTCCAGCTGTGACACCAGCATCCCCATGGTTCATGTCTCGGCTGCTCCACTTCCCATCCAACTCCCTGCCTGTGGCCTGGGAAAGCAGTGGAGGACGGCCCTAGGCCCCTGCGGGAGACCCAGAAGAGCCGGGCTTCTCGTCAGCTCAGCTTTGGCCATTGCAGCCATTTGGGGGGTGAGCCAGCAGGTGGGAGATCTCTGTCTTTCCATCTCTCCCCTCTCCATAAAATCTGCTTTTCAAATATAAAGAAATGTGTTTATTTTATGTGAAAGTAGAATTTCGGATGTGGAGAGGGAGAGAGAGATCTTTCATTTGCTGGTGCCACTATGGCCAGAGCTGACTGGTTTGAAGCTGGGAGCCAGGAACTTCCATGTGGTGGGTGAGGGGCTCCAGGACTGCCTTCCCATGCCATTAGCAGGAAGCTGGATCGGAAATGGAGCAGCCAGGACTCAAAACCGGCACCCGTATGGGTTGCTTGCTGGCGTTGCGCATGGAAGGCCAGCCTGTATGCCATTCCGCCTCATCTTTGTTTGGAAGGTAAAGGTGTTGTGTTAAATCCTAATTTACGAAATTGACTACATTTGTTGTTGCCCACTTGTGCAGCAGTGTTATCCGCTGGTGGACTACTCGGTTTCGAAATCGGAGAAAATGTTTCAGGAGCGTGTTGGAAAAAAGTCACGTATGTTCGCTGAGTTCTAGAGAGAGTTAGCTAGAGTTAGCTTTCTTCAGTAACGGGTTCCTTGACCATTTCCTTGTGGTAAGTGGTGGTGTTGGGTTTTGAAACACCGTAGTGACTGCTGGTTGGAGGTTATTTCCTGAGTTCCTGTAATTCAGTCCGACTTTATTTTCCTTTTTTTTTTTTCCTGTTATTTTGGTAGTGTCTACTGTTAGATTCTGCTTGAAGTAAGCTTAGGTGACAACCCTGAGATGAGTCCAGAAATCCACTCTGGGCGGTTTCTTTGCTTGTGCTGCATGTCTGTGTGAGTGCCTGGTTTCTCGTGGCCGTGATGGTGATGTGTCAGTTGCTCAGATGCTTCTGTGTGTGTGAGCTAGTTGGCATATTCTGTCTTTCTCCCCTTCGGTGACCATGGGCATCGTGTGGTACCAGCTGTAGCACACCGTGGTCTCTTTGTTGGGTCACCTCGCTTGGCAGGCCCTCCACAGTGCCACGTAATGTGGGGACACAGCGCCTCCTCGAGTGGCCCATTTGGTTGTCCCACTTCTTTGTTGTTATAAGTACGTACCGGCAACCTTAAGTCCTACTACTATTTGTTTTCACTTAAAAATGCATCTCCCCTAACTAATGCATTGTAACCCTATCTATATAAATGCTGATTTTCATTTTTGTGAATTATTACAAAGTCCCTAGATTCCTGCACTTGTAAAATCTCCTCCTGTTGAAATACTTTTTCTTCTCAGCCCTCATCCTCCCCTCTCCCTGCCATGCCCAGCCCTGGCCCTAAGCCATGTTTCTTTCATGAAGGATATGATATATTTAAGTACATCCACCCTGTTCAAAAAGTTACCAGTGTTATCTTTACAGCCAATAGCCAACTCCCGAGAACTGGAAATCAAAATCTGACTGAGATTAAAATGCCGTGTGCTTTGTGAAAATTGTGTTTCAAAGCACTGTGTGTATGTGTGCATAGCCATTCAAGCACCCAGGAAAATGAAATAAATGCTATTAGATGCATTGCTGGTAGTGACATTTTTATTACATTCCTTTTAAACTTTAATATATCTTTTAGAATTTTTGCAATGTTCACGAAATATATAGTAGTTGCAAGTATGTAGTTGTTTGTTAGTATGCAGTTTTTTTTTTCAGTTGTTTTTATTGCAAAGTCAGACACATAGAGAGGGAGATCTTCCGTCTACTGATTCACTCCCCAAATGACCTCAACGGCCAGAGCTGAGCCAGTCTAAAGCCAGGGGCTAGGAGCTTCCTTAGGGTCTCCCATGTAGGTGCAGGGTCCCAAGGCTTTGGGCCATCCTCAACTGCTTTGCCAGGCTACAATCAGGGAGCTGGATGGGAAGTGGGCCTCTGGGATTAGAACCAGCGCCCATATGGAATCCTGGCATGTGCAATAGCTGCTAGGCCACTGTGCTGGGCCCAGTGTGTAGTTATTTTTTAAAAGCAAACTTTTAGAAAGAATTTTTAAAATGTATTTATTTTCATTTGAAGGGCAGATTTTCTAGAGAGAAAAGAAGAGGAAGAGACAGAGGTTTCCTGTCTGCTGGTTCACTCCCCAAAAGGCTGCTGGAGCCAGAGCTTCTCTTGAGTCTCCCGTATGGGGGCAGGGATCCAAGGACTTGGACCTTCTTGCCGCTTTTCCAGGCACTTTAGCAGGAAGACTGAATTGGAAGTGAAGCAGCCAGGATTCCATTTGGGATACCAACACTGCAGGCAGATGCTTAATCCGTGCTGTGGTGCAAACCCCAAGTAAGATTTTAATTTGTTTAGAAGGTCTGCTATAAAGAAACTGTAATTCAGGGGCTGGTGTTGTGGCTTAGCAAGTAAAACTGGCTCATGCACGTCCTGGTTGCTCCACTTCTGAACAGGCCCCTGCTAATGGCCTGGGAAAGCAGTGGAAGATAACTGGCATGCTTCAGCCCCGCCACCCACTTGGGCGAGCCAGAGGAAGCCCCTGGCTTCTGGCTCAGGCCTGACCCGACCTTGGCTATTGCTGCTGTCTGGGGAGTGAACCAGGAAATGGAAGATCTCTCTTCCATCTTTCCCTCCCTAACTCTGACTTTCAACTAAGTCTTTTTTAAAAAATGAATCAAGGGTCCTTTGGCAATATATCAGATTCCAGGTTCACCATGAAGGCTGATACCCTTAGCCCTGTCAGCAGGTGTCTCAGAAGTTACTCTGTAACTTAGCTGCCTGTAATTGAAGGATGTTGAGTGCAGGTTTGTTGCCTAGAATCCTGTCAATATTTATCAAGTAAACCAGATAAATCCATTTTCAAAATTGCTTTGGTGGGGAGAGAGTAGTGTTACAGCACAGTTGGTTAAGCAGCTGCCTATGTTACCAACATCCCATAATGTGCATGGGTTTAAGTCCTGGTTGCTCCAGTTCCAGTCCAGTTCCCTGGTGGTACGCCTGGGAAAGCAGTAGAAAATGGCCCAATGCCTGGGCCCCTGCCAGCAATGTGGCAGAGCCAAGCGGAGTTCTGGCTCCTGGTCTTGGCCCAGCCCATCCCTGTCCTGTATATCGTTTTGGGAAGTTAGGCAGTAGACAGAAGTTCTCTGTGTGTGTTTCTCTGACTCTCTGCCTTTTAAGTAAGTAAAATCTTTTTTAAAAATTACATTTTTGGGAACCATAGCAGCCAGAGCTTAGCTAATCTGAAGCCAGGAGCTTCTTTTTGGTCTCTTACATGGGTGCAGGGTCCCAAGGCTTT